TAAAAAAAAACAAAAAAAAAAAAAAAAAAAAAAAGACATCCAAACATATTTTGTCCATTTTTAAAGAATAAATGGTGTGGCCAGCAGGTAAGCGTGGTGGTTAAGGCACTGGACTCCCACGTGGCCAACCGCAGGCCAAGTCCCAGACCTGGTGGCTTGTTTTCTCACCTTCCCTTTCCCTCTCTGTCTCTCTCTGGCCAAATTAAATAATAATAATAATAAATTAAATTAACAATTCTTTTTTGTAAAAAAGAATAAATAAGAGAGGAGGGAAGGCAGGTATAGACACCGGAGACTTGGAGGGGGTGGGGGGAGAAAGGAAGAATCGCTGAGCAGACACAGACGACGACGTTCTTCCGGAACTCCCCGCCAGGACTCACGCACCGCACGCATGCTCTGAGCAACCCCGTGTGCATAGAGATGTGCAGGAAATCATGAAATGTTTCTAACCGGGAGAAAAGAACTAATTCCTGAAGGGAGTTCTTGCAGGCCGGTACAGTCCGCCCTCGCAGGCGGAGGGGGGCACACTCAAGAGCTGGGTCTTCCGCGCATTTCTCAGAAGAAGCGACTCTGCGCTTTGTAGAACCAGCCCTGGCCTGTACGTCTCCGAGCTCTCCCACCTGCCCTTGCTGTCCCAGAGCTGACTCGGGAGAGCTGTGCGGCCGCGTGGGGCCCACGAGGGGGCAGCAGCCTCGCGGCCACACAGACCCAGCCTGCGCCTCCGGCTGCGGGGAGCGGTGGCAGAAGTCAGCCTTGGAGCCTTGGCGTTGAAGTCAGGCTTGCTATTTAAGGAAACGCGAAGCCGGCTTTACTGATCAGGCCTCCCAGGCCCAGCTCCTGTGGCAGGTGACACTGAGAAGGGAGAGGCTGTCGGCACTGACCCCGGCTCTATTCCAGCCCCACGGGCCGCCTCTGAAGGCGTCACGGAGACAGAGCCGCAGCCACCCACCCCTCCACGTCACCCTCCACCAGCACCTGTTGGAGCTGCCGAAACCGTGAGTCAGCCCACTCCCCACGGGGCAGCGAGCCTGCCTACAGGGGCCTTCCACACACTCTGTACGAGACGCAGAACAGGACGGAGGGGCGGCCACGATGGGCACAGACCTGGGCCTCCCAGGAGAACCCCGGAGTCACGCCAGGCAGAGGGCAGAGGTATCCAGGAATATCCTGCCCACTCCGAGGACACCCAGCGGGGTCAGGCAGGGGCAGCCAAGCCCTGCTGGGCCGTCACCATCCTGCCCGCTGGTCTGGGTGCCTGGACCCTTCTCACCCCAAGTCTCTGCGCGGAGTGACAGGGTTAGGAGGTGGGGCCTCTGGAGGCACCGTGAATGGGCTAGTACCCTTGCAGAAGGCCAGGGAGAGGCTGGCCACGGCCGTGAGGCTAAGGGAGCGAGGCCCCACACACCGAGCAGTTCAAATCCTGGACCCTGCAGCTTGAACACCAGGCACGTTCCTGCACGCCCCACATCCCAAAGGTGTGAGGGGTAGAGAAGGGACCAGCGAGACACGCCCCATCGTGGGCGCCTTCTCCTCCTCCCTGTCTGTCTCTCCCTGCTG